GCAGAGACAGCGATACACACGTGTGATGGTGCCACTCAGCACTGGTCTGCAACGACGGCAGCATATGTGCCCGGGCCGCCATAAACCGTTTGGCGCTGGTTGTAGTACCTGTGGCGAGGAAGGGAGGCGAAGGGGGGGGGGGCGAGAAAAGAGAGGAGAAAAGAGAGAGAGAGAGAGAAAAGAGTCGAAAAGAGAGAGGGGGAGAGCAACGCAGCAGCAAGGTGAGATGTGGAACGTGTTGGAAGCTGGTGTGGAAGGGGGCATCGGAAAAAAAGAGGGAAAGGCATGCATACACAACGATAAACAGTCAGGGATACAGCAAACATGGAGCCAACATGAAGCCAAGGCAGAGCCAAACTGCAAGTCACTCCACTCCAACTGCAAGGCGCTCCACTCTGTTCACGCCATCATCACGTCTCCATTTCCAGCACTGCACAACACAACAGGCTCATTGGCCAACCAACCCGTTTGGTGTGACGCTCTTGCAGACGTAGTTGCCGGTGTTGGAGTCGATGGCAAGGGAGCCAGGGACCGTGGTCGGGGAGCTGCGGATGGTCACTTGCTGGACGCAGGAGAACTGGTCGTTGACATTGTATCCGGGGAGCGTGCCCTTTGGCACGGGGCGCGTTGTTGTGGAGTTGACGACGCGAGGGCCCGTGGAGGATGGGAAGTCGGAAACCAGCACGCGGAAGTCGCCCACATGGCAAAAGTCCCGGTTGGAGCCTGTCGTGTACCAGCACTTCCACCCAGGGCCGAACCTGCAATGGAGGTTGGAAAGAGAGAGAAAGGGGGGTGGGGGTTGGGGAAGAGAAGGGAGGGTGAGTTGCGAACAGGGAGTTGGCGGAAGAGGAGGGAGAAGGGGAAGCCATTAGGGGAGCCAAGGAAAGCATCGCAACAGCACAGCTCAAGCAGCCGTGCGGCACACGCAAAAGCTGCCAGTGCGCAAACATACAAAGCGACGCACACACAGACACACACACACACAGACACACACACACACAAAGCTACGCACACACATAAAGCTACGCACACACACACACACACGCACACACACACACACGCGCGCGCGCGCGCGACACTGACCCGGCGTCATCGTTCCATGCGCTGCCAGTGTAGTTGTGGCAGCTGCAGTAGTAGAGCTCCTTGTCGTCTGGGTGGGCGTCCCACTTGACAGGAAACGCATTGTCAGGGATGGGCTCAAAGGCGGTGCTGGCAACCCAGCGGCCACAGCCGTGCACGGCCGTCGTCGCAGCAAGCGCCACAACAACCGCAGCAGCGGCCACAACAAGCGAGCAGCAGCGCATCTTGTTTGTCTTGTGTTCGTTCGTGTGGTTGTTTGTGATGCAAGCGAGTGGAGGTATCGGTTGGCAAAATGGCTGGCTGGTGGCAAAATGTGGCAAAATGTGGCAAAATATGTAGACAGCATGAAATGGCGTTGAGTAAGAAACTTAGGAGTATTTTGAACTAATTTTCATCGCATCTGTTTGTTTTCGTGTTGAGGAGACAGGAACGCGGCAACCAATCAAACCACGACAACCCACCACACCCACCCACCCACCGCTTTGATCCTCGCTCGCTCGCTCGTTGGTATCCGCCCCTCCTCCCCGCATCACACATCAACTGCCGCCGCCATGACGGGGCCTGCTGCATCCATCGCGCTTCACGCGCTGCTCTTTCCATCCCTCGCCCAGGTACACATGTGTGCGTGTGCGTGTGTGCGTGCGTCGAGTGTGGGTGGGTGGGGGCGTGTGCGTCGTCCTGGATGGGAGCTACAGCAACCACCACCATCGACCACCATCAACCACCACCATCGACCACCGAGCTCGTGTTCACCATTCCCCTCCTCTTCTCTGCAACGATACGTGGTTGCGATAGGTGTCTGAGAAGAACCCGGACATGGAGGCCACAGTTGAGACCATCAAGCATGCCTTGGAAAAGGTGCGTTGGCCTGTTTTGTTTCATGATGCCGTCGTCGTCCTCGTTGTCGTCGTCGAACACTCGTGTGTTCTCCCGCCAACACTCGCCATCTGGCCGTTCCGACCTGCACCCCCCCCCATTCTGTGCTTGGCTCATCTGCGTTTCCTGTGTCTTGATTCTTGTCTGTCTTGATTGTCGCTGTGGCAGGCGGAGGCGAGCAACCCGGGGCTCAGCCACGACTTTGTGGATTTGATTCTGGAGAAGACACAGTCCAAGGGCGGCCAGGATTTGACCGAGAAGCTGCTGCGCGAGGCGCATCGCGACGTGCAATGTGAGCTCATAATATTGCTGCGCATGTGTGTGTGTGGTGCATGTCTGTGCGTGCGTGCGTGCATGTCTGTGCGTGCGTGCATGTCTGTGCGTGTGTGTGTGTGTGTGTCGTTGAATGCTGCCTTTCTTCGTTGTACCGTTTCCATGTTCTCCTCACCCTTGCCCCCTCCCTTCCTCTCCTTCGTGTTTGTAGTGTATTCCATTGATGACAAGACCCCAGAGCTCACAGACCTGTCAAACAAAGCGAAAGCACTAAAGGTGCGCCCGTTTGCGCGTGCGTGTGTGCTTGTGCATGTGCGTGCGTGTGTGTGTGTGTGTGTGTGCGTGCGTGTGCGTGTGTGTGTGTGTGTGTGTGTGTGTGTGTGTGTGTGTGTGTGTGTGTGTGTGTGTGTGTGTGTGTGTGTGTGTGTGTGTGTGTGTGTGTGTGTGTACGTGTGTACGTGTACTTGTGTGCCCCGCTCTCATTCTCCATGCACACACACACGCATCTTTTGCAGAGGATATTGAGCACCATCCCAGATGAGGTGCAGAACCGCACGCGCTTCCTGGGGATCATCCGCAAGATTGCAGAATCCATCAAGGACATGCTCGACGCCGTCAACGCCGTCGCCACAAACAACGCCGACCTCATCGCCCCAAAGGCCGAGGTGTGTGTGTGTGTGTGTGTGTGTGTGTGTGTGTGTGTGTGTGTGTGTGTGTGTGTGTGTGCGTGTGTGTGTGCGTGTGTGTGTGCGTGTGATATCCATGGGAAGATTGGTGAATGGGTGTCAATCCTGCATGGGGAAGTGTATTCCCTTGAAACGCGCATCCATGCTCTGCAGCTGAACCGCCCCCCCCCCCATTGGCTGACCTGTCTGTGTCCCTGTCTGTCTGCATGTGGCGCCTGTCTGTTTGCAGGAGCTGCAACAGCAGCGCAAGATGTTTGTTCGCGGGTCAAAGCGCTTCAGCGATACCCTCAAGCAATACTTCACAGACAACAAGTCAGTCATTCAACTTCTCTGTGTGCGTGTGTGTTTGTATGGTTGGTGTGTGCATGCTGTTCATTGCATAGCCTATCCTTGCATGAGCCCACCAACTATCGACTCATCTTCTTCATCATCACCTCATCAACACCTCATTAACATTACTCCTCACCTCCGCTCTGTGTATGTGCACAATGTGCAATGCAGGGTGCACAACCTCTTCCGCAGCGCACACCGCCTCATCAACGAGACAAACTCCCTCATGCGCACGGTCAAGAGCGCCCTGTAGCGGCTGCCCGTATCTTGAGAGGAAGTGGAGGGGATGGTGGTGGCTGTGGTGAATTGACGGCATTGCTGTTCGTTGGCGCTCTTGTCCCACGTGGTGGTGGTGTTGGTGACGGCGTTGTTGTCTCGTAAATGTTTCCAACAGCGCCGCCCTCGTTGCTGTGGTGTTGTGTGTTCTGTTGCTGTTGATGTCATCTTCTCCTCCTCGCTGCTGCTGCTGCTGCTGTTGTTGTTGTTGCTGCTGTTGCTGCTTGTCTGCATGTATCATAGTCTGCCCACAGTTTCCGCCTTGCTCTTGCCTGTGTTGCTTGTTTGCCTGCTCTGCCTTTCACTTTGCATGCCTTTCTCTCTGGTTGCACGCCAGCTGTTGCGTTTGTTTCTCACTCTTGCTCTCACTCTTTGACGCGCATCCAAAAACATATACAAACGAGTTGCCGACTGCATGCGTATGCGAGACCAATGCAGTAGTAACACGACATAGAGCGGATGGCAACGCCGCTGTGCACACACACACACACACACACACACACACACACACACATAACGTAAGGCGCAGTTCAATGTGTCACACAAAAACACATACACACAGTGTTAAACCTCGTGTATTGATCTGATGGAAACAGGGGGAGAAAGCATCAAGCAACGCAGAGAAGGGGGAAGAAAAATGGGAGCGGCAGTTACAACGCAAGAACAAATATACGGGAAACGAACACAGGAGACACACGCACATTAGGCATGCAAGTGCGCGTTTCATCTCTCAAACAAACAAACAAACACAAACACACACACACACACACGTCTCTGGACACTACATGTACGTGCACAACCTACACACTACACTACCCATACAAACAAACAACCAAACAAACACCCAACAACCAACCGAACAAACAAATGAACAAAAAGCAAGCAATCATCAACGCCGGGGGCTATGCGTTGGAGTCGCCGGGAAAGAGATCACCGTAGCTCGGTGGCGCATCAGAGTACAACGCAGGCGGCGCGCTGGCTGTCGCCGACGATGTCGCGGTGGTCGTCGTCGTTGTTGTTGTTGTTGGGTTCGTGTCGGGTGGCTGTGGCGATGGGGATGTGGATGCTGTTGTGGATGAGGTCACCGTGAGACGGGTGGGCGTGTACGTGCTTGGCGTGTACGTGCTGGGCGTGTACGTGCTGGGCGTGTACGTGCTGGGCGTGTATGTGCTGGCGGTTGGCGGTGGTGGCGGGTACATGGATGGCGCTGTTGTTGTCGCTGTTGATGTCGATGGTGGCGGTGGCGGGTACAGCGATGCTCCGAGCGTGGCGCCACTGGAAGCGGTGGTGGTGGTGGGCGGTGGTGGTGGATAGAGGGTTGCGCCTGGTGTGGACGAGGTGGCTGGCGGTGGCGGTGGCGGGGGGATGAACGACAGCGCAGTCACTGGCGATGTCGCGGTGGTTGTGTCGGTCGCTGGAGTCGTGCTTGTGGTGTTGTTGTTGGTTGTAGTGCTGTTGGTTGTTGTATCAGCAGCGGCACTCGCTTGCATCTCCGCATACGTGGGCAGGTGCTCCTCCTCCCGGTTGTTGTTGTTGTTGTTGTTGGTGGTGGTGTTGGTGGTGCGGGTGAGGCGGAGGGGGGCGCCTTGGTTCTGGCGGATGACAACGCGCTGGCGCGGGCGGCCACTGTGTAGTGGTGTATGCGTGTGTATGTGTATATGCATATGTGTATGTGCATATGTGCATATGTGTATGTGTATGTGTGTGTGTGTGTGCATGCGTGTTGTTTGGTGAGATGAACAAGCAAACTGCATGGCGTCATCATCCACAACGGCGCATGCAAACCACAATCACACACATACACATACACACATACACATACACACACACACATGAACACGACACACCCTCCCAATTACGCAGCCCCCTTCCCCCTTCCCCCTCTCGTTCCTGTCGCTGCCCCCCTCCCTCGCCCTTACCGCATGGCCTTGGTGCAGGCGCTGATGGTGAAGGAGAGGAAGAAGATGCAGAAGATGATGATGCCTGGGATGGCGCCAACAGGGAAGTTGAAGCTTGAGCCACTGCCGCCGCCACCACCAGGGTCGCTCACGGCCCCCGAGATGGTGTCCCAGTCGAGCAGCACCGTGAACGCGGACTCGGACGACTGGAACAGCAGCTTGAAGCCCTCCCGCGTCACCCTGAACGGGCGTGATGCAGGACCGTTAGCAGTTGTAGTTGTGTGTTTGTGTGTTTGTGTTTGTGTTTGTGTGTGTGTGTGTGTTTGTGTTTGTGTGTTTGTGTTTGTGTTTGTGTTTGTGTTTGTGTTTGTGTTT